TTGAAGGTCATTCATTTGAACAAACTTGGTAGCCCTTCACCCTAGCTGGCTACTGACCAAATATCATCTCCCTGGGCAGTTTGGTTATTGAGAAGAAGTTGTTTAAAGTTTTTAACATATTTGAACCCTGTGACCTTGAAAATAGATGAAGGTCATTTATTTGAACAAACTTGGTAGCCCTTCATTCCAGTTTGCTTCTGGCCAAATATCATCACCCTAGGCCTTTCGGTTATTAAGAAGAAGTCGTTTAAAAGTAAAATATTGACGCCGGATGGACGACGGACGGATGACGGACGCCGCACCACGGCATAAGCTCACTTGGCACTTTGTGCCAGGTGAGCTAAAAAGGTTCTATTTTCAAAATGGTAGTCTGTCAAAGCATTAACACCTTTTCATGTTTTCTGATCAAATTCTGGTGAATTGGAATACAAAAATAGTCTTTCATGCCCAGGAGTGTGGAATAGAAATATCCCACGCTGGGATTTCTAAATTTGGTCAAAACCCAGCAAGCCTCAAGTTTTCTCCAATTTGAAACCGCTGAGCTGGAACTTCCCTATCCTACACTCCTAGGTCTGGATACGACTCTTACCAGTCTCAAAACTTGTACCCAAGGACACCTATAAGGTAACGTGAGTCGGCACCGATATGTCACATGTAAACATATAGAGGCGGTGAGAAGTACAGAGACAATACTATTATTTCTACATTACACATCAAGCTGGTTTTGTGAATACAACACTACATCAGTAAAGAAGGGAAATTCTCGTGTGAAATTATAAGAAATACTTGTAAAACACTATGTATTTCAGATCAGAGGAAATCCGAATTTGGAACTCTCCTTAAAGTGAAGCTTAAAATTTCACAAAGAAATATCCCCGTGGCAACACAGAAAGACAGTCACACATTGACAGTATAGATGAATATGCACTATGAAGACGCTCTCACTTTCATTACCTTGAGAATGATTTTCTAAAACTGAAATGAATTTAAACTAGCTAGCTTAAAACCAAATTACAATCACAGTACATTTAGTATCACTGTCTATATACATTGTACAGTATTACACAATAATCTGCAGGATTAAAAGTATCAACCACATTCATACTGTCCAGGGGGACATAACTCTTATAAGATAGATTTTCTCCCAAAATTCAGCTATAAAAGCATGTAGGTAGTTCTAAATTCTAGATACGACCATTTATTTTGTAAAGTCTGTATTGCGGTAGGCTTACTGTTGTACAGCGGCTAATATTGCCTGTTGAATACAGATTCCAATGCGCTTGGATTTGTATATTTCTGTACACATATTGCATAAGAGCGATGAGCTTTGGGTCTGGTGACCAATCAAGACATAAATGATTCAAAATACTCTTCAACAACTGGCTAAAGAAATTAATGTGACAAAAATATTATTTACTCAATATTTGATGTTTTCATATCTTTTAAAAAATTTGAAATTCATGCAATGATTTTTTTTTTAATTATTAGCAGATATAGATCATCAATACCTCAGGATGCTACCTACCAAAAGTCTACTATACTAAATGTTCTGGAAGTTTTACTAGAGTCAATTACCATAATCCTAAAACTACAAAACTATATCTATAATTGCCTAATACATGTATTCTGAGTATGGGACAAAGTTCAGAATTTTAGTTTTGATTTTCATTATAAGTTTGACAAACTTGTGTAACATGGTCTATTATGACATCATACAATGATAATGAAATGACATTACTAATATTCAGGTTACATAACGATTCTTGATGAAGGAGACATTTACATCCAAGATGAAATTTAGACTTTAAGAATGACCTGGAAAAGCATGTTTTTTTGCAATAATTGCAAAAAATCCTGATCTTATGATTAAAAGGATTTTACATTTTTTTCCTATTAAACCTCTTTTTTTTGCAAAAATGAAACATTCTCAGATTTGTTTTATAAATCACATTTGAAATAGAAACTCATTTAAAATTCTATGAGTAAAGTCTATCCTAAAAAGTCATAAATATATAAATTTTATATACAAGCCACATCATGCAAGCTATATAATTTATCTTTAGATGATTCAGAAATGATTAGACTGAGGCTGTGTATGAAGCCAGACAAAAATGTTCTTCACTGCTTCATTTAAAACCAGAACTACTTATATCAAACAGTGGTAATTCAACGATAATTTATAAAACTTGCAAGAAACGGTGTGTGAAAATTAAAGTTTCGATTTAGTTTTTCATTTTGCAAGTTCAGAAACTTTTTTTTCAATAATGATATAAAAACAATCAAGTTGAACATATAAATATTTGTGAAACTATTACCCACCTTTACACAAATATAAATAAACTTTATTTATTTAACAACAATTATGAAAGAAGCTTTTACAACTTATACCAATCACTCTTGTTGGACAGAATGTTAGCGCGGGTGGTCTTACTGTGGGAGGAAACCGGAGCACCCGGAGAAAACCCACATGGTCGGGCAAGTAACCCTATACCTTTTCCCGTCCGATCGGGGAATCGAACCCCGGTTGCCTTGGTGAAAGGCAAGTTCTCTATCCACTGCGCCACCCGACCACCCATGTATTATTTGTAACGGTATATGGTTAATGAAATAAATAAATAAATGAGAAATGGTCCGTGATAGAAATCGGGGAAGGAGTTGGTGTGACTAGTAGAACTATAGGGATTGTACGGGGTGATTCGCCTCAGTAAAACACTGGGATACATACCGTGTCTGCAGTGTCTCCACATCTTTTGTCAGCTGGACATTCTGATCTTCAAGCTGCAAAAAAAATAATTGGACTTATCCGTTTCGTAAAAACTTTAACATTTTTAGCAAGGATATGGAACATGACAAAAAGCTAGCAGGAGCAATCTTTGACCTAAAACATTCATAATAGAGATTTGTATATTTGTGATATAAAACTGATTTCATCTTCTTTTGTCTGTCTTGCCAATTGTGAAAAAAAAAAATCTTTGCTTTGATGACAATATCGTTAAAATAACTCATGTTGATGTTTTTACTTCATAAATGCATGTCCTGATACATACACATAATGTTCTTCACTTCAGAAAATAGTTTTTTGAAAATCATTCCTCTTCTACTTATAATACGTATACATGTACCAAAACCAGACTGTTTTCCAACCCAACCATAATCTTGGACTATTGATATTTTTCTTTTTATATGATATATAAAAACAATGACTTGAATAAATATTTCTTGTTTTTATAACTGTATCTACCCGTTTGCGTTCCTCGGCGACCAGGTTGGAGAACTCCAGCTGTGCCTTCATCGAGTCCCTCTCTCCCTCCACGTCCTTTAGACTTGTCTGGAGCTGGGTTACCTTGGCCTTACTCTCATCACTGTCAACATCAAATGTACCACTAAACATTACCATCTGGTAAATAGAGCACCACAATTAATTTCTCATAACTGAAGATTTTTATGAAATGAGTTTAAGCAAATTTCATAAAAGTCTTACACTACTATTAACCCTTTCACCACTGTAGACCATAATGGACTCATCCAGATCAATGCATGGTAGAGTCTACTCAAGTTACATAGGGTTGAAAGGGTTAATACTACGAATAACTACAGTGATTACTATCAATTGCATCCTGTCGATCACAAATTCCATATTTAGCTTATGACGTGATCGTGTCATAGTAAACAGGAAAATCCCAACCCCGGCTTAGAATTTTACAGCATGGGTTCAGATTTTACAATCTATTTAATTTTGAAAGTCATTTTTATTTTTCTTCTACGCTTTAAAGTTTAAGAAAACCACCAAGTCAATATAGTGCTGTCATTTTAACATGTATGAAAAACTGACGACACAATCGATCCTAACTGTATAAAATGATCATGTGAAGTGTGTAATGTATTGGTTTGGGATATGGATATTCCATCAGAGCATCATTCACCAGTTGATATCGGGGACTGGAGATGCTAAGTTTCTGGTTGTTAATTAGAAATCCGCCGAGGGTTGTGACATCATGTGTATTGTTAATTAGAAATCCGCCGAGGGTTGTGACATCATGTGTATTGTTTATGTAATCTTATTTGATTGCTGCAACTTACTTAGGTGCATGATATCAAAATCACGTGACAAGATACGTATTTCTCTAGCTAGCTCTCACTAACAAACCTCAAAACCTAGCTCTTGGGTTGCGATTTCTCTTTTCTACATCATGCAGAAGTGATAGATTCTGTTAATCCTACATCCCTGTTTTGTATGGGATGTTTTAATTCTATATTCTTAGGTATAGAAGCAAATAGAGTCATTCGCCCACCTAGTGGCGAGATTGAGCAAATCAAAACTCTGAGGAAAATTATATCTAGTTACAAAATACGCGACTTGCCCAAGGGGAGGAATAACTTTTTCTTATACCATGTTCTACAATGTTGACCTGATGTTATTGCATGGTTGACGTGATGTCATACAACTATTCTAACTGGGGAAATCCCTCGTCTTACACCTAGGATGAGACAATGATATCTCCACCATAGGGTATACACCTGTCCTGAGTAAATCACAGTAATCTCTCAATAGAGGTGTGACATTGACTTACGGCTGTGTCTGTAATGCCCCGGTGGTCAATTCCTGTACTGATAACTGTGATATTATAGAGGCGTAACATTGACTTACAGCTGTCTGTACTGCCCCAGTGGTCACTTCCTGTACTGATAACTGTGATATGATAGAGGTGTGACATTGACTTACAGCTGTGTCTGTAATGCCCCCATGGTCACTTCCTGTACTGATAACTGTGATATCGTCTCTTCGTGTTGGCTCGTCTCCATTTTTAGTTTGTCAGTCTACAACATAACAATATTTTTAACACAGGGTTATCACAGGAATAGTTAGTTGGTAAGTGATATTATAGAGGTGTGACATTGACTTACAGCTTTGTCTGTAATGCCCCGGTGGTCACTTCCTGTAATGATAACTGTGATATTATAGAGGTGTGACATTGCCTTACAGCTGTGTCTGTAATGCCCCGGTGGTCACTGCCTGTACTGATAACTGTGATATCGTCTCTTCGCGTTGGCTTGTCTCCATTTTTAGTTTGTCAGTCTACAACATAACAATATTTTTAACACAGGGTTATCACAGGAATAGTTAGTTGGTAAGTGATATTATAGAGGTGTGACATTGACTTACGGCTGTGCCTGTAATGCCCTGGTGGTCACTTCCTGTACTGATAACTGTGATCTTATAGAGGGGTGACATTGACTTGCAGCTGTTTCTGTAATGCCCCGGTGGTCACTTCCTGTACTGATAACAGTGATATTATAGAGGTGTGACATTGACTTACGTCTGTGTCTGTAATGCCCCGATGGTCACTTCCTGTACTCATAACTGTGATATTATAGAGGTGTGACATTGACTTGCAGCTGTTTCTGTAATGCCCTGGTGGTCACTTCCTGTACTGATAACTGTGATATTATAGTGGGGTGACATTGACTTGCAGCTGTGTCTGTAATGCCCCATGGGTCACTTCCTGTACTGATAACTGTGATATTATAGTGGGGTGACATTGACTTGCAGCTGTGTCTGTAATGCCCCATGGGTCACTTCCTGTACTGATAACTGTGATATTATAGAGGCGTAACAGTTACTTACAGCTGTCTGTAATGCCCCGGTGGTCATTTCCTGTACTGATAACTGTGATATTATAGAGGTGCGACATTGACTTACAGCTGTGTCTGTAATGCCCCATGGGGCACTTCCTGTACTGATAACTGTGATATTATAGAGGTGCGACATTGACTTACAGCTGTGTCTGTAATGCCCCGGTGGTCACTGCCTGTACTGATAACTGTGATATCGTCTCTTCGTGTTGGCTCGTCTCCATTTTTAGTTTGTCAGTCTACAACATAACAAGATTTTTAACACAGGGTTATCACAGGAATAGTTAGTTGGTAAGTGATATTATAGAGGTGTGACATTGACTTACATCTGTGTCTGTAATGCCCCGATGGTCACTTCCTGTACTGATAACTGTGATATGATAGAGGTGTGACATTGACTTACAGCTGTGTCTGTAATGGCCCGGTGGTCACTTCCTGTACTGATAACTGTGATATTATAGAGGTGCGACATTGACTTACAGCTGTGTCTGTAATGCCCCGGCGGTCACTTCCTGTACTGATAACTGTGATATTATAGAGGTGCGACATTGACTTACAGCTGTGTCTGTAATGCCCCGATGGTCACTTCCTGTACTCATAACTGTGATATTATAGAGGTGTGACATTGACTTGCAGCTGTGGCTGTAATGCCCCGGTGGTCACTTCCTGTACTGATAACAGTGATATTATAGAGGTGTGACATTGACTTACAGCTTTGTCTGTAATGCCCCGGTGGTCACTTCCTGTACTGATAACTGTGATATCGTCTCTTCGTGTTGGCTTGTCTCCATTTTTAGTTTGTCAGTCTACAACATAACAATATTTTTAACACAGGGTTATCACAGGAATAGTTAGTTGGTAAGACAAACATGCATGGTTGTCAATATCCCCCACTCCCACCTGTTGAAGTAGAACAAATTTTGGTAATGAAAAATTTGTATTTTAGAAAACTCAAAATAGCAAGAAACACCCCTCTGTTTTGTGACTGACTAATGTGCCACACTTAGAAATCAAATCTGTAATGGTTTTTCTGATTTGTTTCAGAAATACAAATGTGCACCAATAACTACGCATTTTGAGCGCTGTTTCTGCAACAACCGGATTTTTCTTAAAATCAGCATCTTTAAAAAACAAAAACAAAAACAACACCTCTTTTCAGTAATTTGATAGACTCGGGTGGGAAGTTTATAGTTAAAATCTGTACTAGTATTGAGATTCGCTCCAAAATCAATTGTCAACAGAGTGGTAGATGAGGGCACGATACACATAGCGGCAGATGGAACCTGATTGTATGAAACAAGAAACATCTAACATATATATTTACAGATTCCAACAGAGTTTCATTAGCAAGAAAAGTGAATTTAAGTATTTAATGAAGTTGGAACAAGTTTCAAATAAAAATTCTAGTTCATGATTGTTATATTTTTCTGAATCAAAAGTTAATCAAATCTCAAGCTAACATTCTATACCAAATGGAAACAACTCTTGTCATCTTGTGTCGCTGTAGCATTATGTGACGTAAAAGTTAGATTGTCAGATATCAGATAGTCTAATACCTCTCTCTGTAACTCTTCAGACTTTTTCTGTAGTTCCTCCATCTGCATATCTTTCTGTTGTAGTGTGACCTTGCCCTCTATTATCTCCCTTTGTAGACTCTCCCGCTCACTTATAGCAGCATCCTTCTCCGACTGAGCACTGTCTTTCTGTTTCTGCAACTGGAGCACAAAAAGCGATAAATTAAACATTGGACCACTGTAATACTTACACACAATATTGCCATGGTAGAATTAGAAAAAAAAGTCAACAGATTGTTGATAACATTGTCTTTAATTTATCTGTTATAAAAAGATTGAACCAGAATTGACTTTCAGGTATTGCTTTAAATATTATTCCATACATAGAATCAAGTGAATTCTTAAGTGTACAAGTCAAGTTCAAACTTATAGTTTCATTTAAACAAGTCAAACTTATGTACACATGACAGCAAAGTTGATATCCAACTATTTCACTCTCTCGGGCAAATGGATCACAATTACCCCATGCTATATACTGTTGGGCTGGATACAACTCATACCTCCATTTTGGACTTGTTGGATTTCTCGATCTCAGACTTGATGTCTGAGAGTTGTTCCGTGAGACTGTCACGCTCTGCCTCCAGCTTTTCGTTAGTGGACTGTATCTTGGTGACCTCTACACGAGCATGGATCAGGTTGCCGTTGATTGTCTCCTTCTCCCCTTCCAGACGCTTCACTTGTTTCTCAGCCTTCTCCTTTTCAAACTATAGATATACAAGATTTTTTTGTGTGTATATAATACAACATCATACCATCATGTTTACCCTTTCACCCCTAGGTAACTTTAGTAGACCCTACCATGCATTGATCTGGATGAGTCCATTATGGTCTACAGTGGTGAAAGGGTTAATACCAAAAGCTGTCATATCTTGTTTCTTCCATATACCAAAATGTTGAACACATATAATTGTCTGTGAGACCAGAGTTCAAACTTTACCTTTCGTACTAGTGCAAATTTTTCTTCTATTTAAGATTCATTAACTAGGGCTGCAACGATACATTAACATGACAATACGATATGTATCACGATACTGCAGTCACGATACCTATCATGATGCCTATAGAAACAGCAAAGAGAAAAGATGTGATGCAAATTTTTAATGGCAATGTTACAAATGTAAATAGACTAGGTCCAAAATGGGCATGACTTTATAAAGTTTCACGTCTTTTGATATGCAAGTCGAGCTGTAGCTGTCACACGCCATGTTGGAACAGATAAGGGTAGGCAAAATTCAGAAAAGACAAAATCCGGAAAATATCGTAGGTGTATAATGACCTCCCAAAATTTATTGTGTATCGTACTATATTCAAAATATTGCAATATATCGGGGCGTGATATATTGTTGGAGCCCTATCATTAACTTTTCACTAATAATGCTTTTATACCTGATATTTGACCTCACATTTAACAGTCATTTAATATACCGGTCTAAATACAGTAAACAAGATATCCCAGAGGGATCTTGGTGCCCACTATTGTGCCATCTTCATTAGTTCTATGTCAGTTTGATCTTTTCTCTTATTTTTTTTATTAAGTCATGTAAACAGTAAATGCACCTTGAGGTCACCATTTTGTTTATTCCATCAAATCTCAAAAGTAAACATGCACAATAAAGGACCAAGGAAAACCTACAGAACAAATTTGAGAAAGATCTTTCCAGTATTTCCCGAGAAATAGCGAAAACAAACATTCACTGTCAAGATCCATGCAAGCTCACTCACTGGCCGCCTTTCGGCCATATTGTTTATCTGATCAGTCTCAAAAGTATAAATGTGCATGCCGAGCTGGAGCTGTCACTCACCATGTTGGAACAGATATGAGAAGGCGAAATTCAGAAAAGACAAAATCCAGAAAATATTGCAGGGACCAAGGGGAACCTACATATCAAATATGAGAAAGATCCCTTCAGTACTTTCTGAGAAATAGCGATAACAATAATTGTTTAAGGACGGACGACGGGCGTCGGACCACGGATGTGTGGCGATTTAAATAGACCACCATCAGATGAAAGTGGGCTAAAAATAAAAGGACTTTTCATCCCATATACATTTGCCCTTTGCCCATTTACAAAAGGGCTTCTTCCAAACAAGGTTGATTAATTGTGATTTTTCTCAAACAGGCAGTTTGTTAAATGGCAGATTGAATTCTTCATAACAAAGAAACATTTGAAATTTCAAAGGTGAAATTTTCCTCTGGCAAAAACATCATGCGTTACAGTAAACAGAAAGTTTTTTACAGATTAATTACATTGAGTTTTTCTGTTATTGACCTTTGACCTTTGTGTGGACTTTTTGCTGTATTGATAGTATCTATGACCTATTTCAGTATTTTATCTCTGACCAACAAGAACATCAACCGTTTCTATGGTGATAATGTCTTTCATATTGTTTGAACTATGACTTATCTATCTGCAGATCAACCTATGGTGATGATGTGTTACAGTATTTAACCTTTGACCTACTTGTAGAGCATCTTTATGTTGGCGATGTCTAACACAGTATCTGACCTCTGACCTACCTGTAGCGCATCCTTCTCTATAGTGATGGTGTCTTAACACAGTATTTGACCTTCGACCTACCTGTAGTGCATCCTACTCTGTTGGAACACAGTATCTGACCTCTGCATGACCTACCTGTAGTGCATCCTACTCTGTTGGAACACAATATCTGACCTCTAACCTACCTGTAGTGCATCCGACTCTGTTGGAACACAGTATCTGACCTCTGACCTACCTGTAGTGCATCCTACTCTGTTGGAACATAGTATCTGACCTCTGCATGACCTACCTGTAGTGCATCCTACTCTGTTGGAACACAGTATCTGACCTTCGACCTACCTGTAGAGCATCCTTCTCTATGATGATGTTGTAACACAGTATATGACCTCTGACCTACCTGTAGAGCATCCTTCTCTATGGTGATGTTGTAACACAGTATCTGACCTTCGAACTACCTGTAGAGCATCCTTCTCTATGATGATGTTGTAACACAGTATCTGACCTCTGACCTACCTGTAGTGCATCCTTCTCTGTGGTGATGGTGTCTAACACCCGTTTGTGTGCCTGTGTCTGAACTTCCTGTTTGTCTAGATCCTCCCTGCTCTGCTCTAGCTGTTTTTTAAGACTGTTGATTTCCCCTTGTTTGCGTTTAATGGCTTCTTCCTTTTCTTTTTCAAAATCTTCTGACTTTGTTTTCATTTTATTGTTGGCTTTATCCAAGGCTCTTTGCTGTAATAATTGAATCCAATATGTGTTATTTTTGGGTACCATGCATGTAAACACTTACTTTAGTTAATACATAACATTGGTTTGGGCTCAGTACCTTTCCAGCTACTATATGGTATTTGTGTGTTGCCTGCATGTGGCTGAAAGGGACTAGTTATGAGCTAAAATAGATCAATTTTATTACACTGTTATTAGAAATATCAATATTCATACTCTGTCATCAAGTGCCACTGTTTCTAGTCCTCTTGGTGATAGGTTTTTATTAGCTTTATATGATGGATGCAAATTTTAGTTTAGAACTGAAAAGTTTTTCAAAATATATTTCATGAAATGTGTCCAAACATTTGTTTTATGACAAAGCCGGCTTAGAACTGCCCCCAACATCACAAACACTAAGAGTCTGCTTCAGTCGGAAGTTCAAGCTGGTCATTCAGGTTCTACAGCAGATATGTAACCTTAACTCATTCACCCCAGAAATTTCATATTGAACTATTCCAACCTATGAATTGGAAGAATTCAAACGTGTCTTCAGGGGTAAATGAGTTAAAGATATCTGGGAAATGAAAGCTTTAACTCGGGGGGAAGCAGACTCAAAATGTTTGTGAAATAGGGCCCAGGACCTCATACTTACCATGTCTTCAATTTGACTCCTAAATGTATTAATATTTTCCTCATGTTTACTAATTAAATTCTCTTTCTCCCTCTCTCTCTCTAATTGAAGTTGTGTCAGTTGATCGTTAATTCTTCCCCATTTTTGAGTAGAATTCGACAAGTCTGTTTGTAGTTCCTGGATTTTTCTGAAAATGACATCATACATAAAATGTTAAATAAAACAACATCAATGCATGATGTAGACATGTTCCATAATAATTACTAGTATATATATCTATGCCATATGAGAAACATTTATATCACATATATTCATAACATAATTGTATGTTGTCAAGTCTTTCAATGTTCAATTTGTTAACTTACCTTTTAAATTTATGAATGTAAACACAGTTTAAACAACCACTAGGAATCTGTTCTATCAAATAATGTCTGTGTATCCCAACTAATTTTAACTATTTTGAACAAGTTTTAAAACATTTTTTTAACAAACTTCTCAAGCATTTGCTTATTGCAACTCTTTTTAGACATTACAAAATAGGATTTTTACTTCACTTTTCATCCAACTTTTTAACTAAAGCTTAAGGTTTTTTCTTAATGTCTTTTTATATTTCTACATTTTGAGAACTATTTCCCTGTCTCTTACTGTCTAACCAATCTTACCCAGTAAATCTAGTACATGTACCGAAACTTAGAAATTGACATTTAATAATATACACAGCTCGTAACAACTAAGTCCCCTCATTTATAAAATGAGAAAATCTCCCATACATTCCACCTCCCTCGTGTAGAATCAGCACACGCCGGTAAGCCATTTTGTCATCTATTGTGTACGTACGTAACATCCAGATAAACACAGGTACATGTACATACAGGTGAGACAGCCAGGTATAAATAATGTACTGGTAATCATATAAGCCTTGTCACTTTCTGTATAATACACTGTTCACAATCAATAATAAATTGACCTATAATCTATAAATACTAAGATCTCGTTACATTTTGAGTGATTCCAGAGAAACAAGAATATTGTATCTTTCCAAAATTTGTCCATAAAAAGCTGATTCAAAGTTCTTGGAAGCAGTTTTTCTTTTCACATGTTATGCATGATGGCCTGTATATTTCTGATGTGGTGCATGTTTGCAAGTTAGTTTCTAAATATCGGGAAGCTAGAAAGCAATCATGAGCATCGATCAACTTTGACTACTCTATATAATTATCATGAAACCACAACTTAGTGCATCAAATTAATTTCAGATTTTACACTTAACTATGATAAAAAAAAAAAACATTTTAGATTCTCTACTGCTATGAGCAATGACAATCGAACCCCCAAACCCTTTACATAAACATCAAACCTCAACCTTTGAGACAGAAAATCGAAACAAAATAAATAAAAAGACGATATCTCAACTTTAAATACCAAGAATCGAGACAAGTTCCACAATGATCTTATAACTATATTGATTTCTGCCCAGTCAGCATTGACATATCCTGAAAAACTCCAAAGTCTGCATGACACGTATAGCAACAGGGAAGAGCCTTTTCTGCATCTTATTTTCACGGTAACGTAACGGGACAGGAAAACCGCACTGCCAGACTGAAATCCAAACCTTGGACCCTCGGAACACCAGACAGACGCTCTACCAGTTGAGCTGCCTGGTCGCCCGTGATCGACCCAGTTCAACTCCGCTACAGTATAGCAGTCCTAATGTTAACCCTGTCCAAATCTCAACATAACCTTCCTTTAGATTACAAATCCTGTTTAATTCTTACCATATTAACAGTCCTGATAACAATCCCATACAAATCTCATGGTAACAGTCCTTTTAAGTATAAATCTTGTCTAATTATCTCTGTAACGGTTAATCCAACTTGGATAGCTAGTATTAGTAAGTCTGTGACACTGAAGGTGAAGATTTTTTTCTCTGTGAAAAATGATAAGTGGTAATCAATAGCCAATATTGTACCGTACCACCTCAACACTCTTCTAAACAAGACAATGTATTGTGAGCAATTCATACTCCCCAAGTTCTGTACAAACTTCGGATGAAAAAAGTACAAAAGACCATAACTCTGTACATAAGGGAATATAATATCTGTTACTCCGCTATCTAAAAGTACCCACATACATAAATTTGGGAACTGTAGCTGACATCTACTTTATGAAATATGCCACAGACAAAGTGACTCAGGATGAACAAAGGGCCTTAACTCTGTATACAAGTGATCACAATATTCGATTTAAGAATGTGAAACTCCGCCATCTCCAGAGGAACTCATGACATAAAAAATGAAAATTGAATCTGTAAAGAGTATATGAAATATTCCAAGACAATTTGAAGCACTGAGAGTCTGACTGATGGACTTACGGACTGACGACGGATGGACGGACTGCAAACCTATAATCCCCTTTGGTAGTACCGGAGTGGGGGACTAATTACCCAACAGGTCTAATGATCCAACTACTCACAAGGTATACTAATCCAACAACATCAGTCATCATTCACTCACAAGACACGATAATCCAATTATAATTACTCCATGAAAGTGGAAATTTCACAAATTTCAAATTTGCTATATCAGGTTAAGAATATGTATACACTATGAAATATGTATTACATTAGTACTATCACTTCGAACATTCCCAAAACAAAAATCTTCTGAAAGGTCATAATATATAGATTCCCCTATTACAGCAAAGCTTCTTTTATCAATTATTTTTTTGAAAGAATTCATCTATCACTATTGAACAATGGTATAGATTGAAATACATATTATCATTATAGTATCAATACAATTTCATGTATATTAGAATAAGCATGGAAATCCATGCTGAACACTAACAGTAGGTAAAGCCCTTTCGGCAATTCGAAACGTCTGAGTAAATTGATAGCAATCAAAACCATCGATCCTCGTGGAATCCAAACAATAGGGAAGCACACATACACCAAACTGTAAAATTCTGGATGAAATTTGTATCCCTCAGCTGTCACTGTCAAGATTAAAACGATGACAGGAATCCGTGTAGATGACTTTGAATCGTCTAGAATGAAAACGGTAGATTTCCTGAAAGTTATTATCCATAGCTGAACGCCTTCTCCCCTTAAATTCACTACAGTCAGTCAATAAGAAATGCCGTTACGGACCTGAATCAAGGACCAGTCCCGTCGTTATTGTAGCTGGTACTGATTTGCCAATGAAGTTATTTCACCACAAGCGCAACTTCCCCGAACAGTCACTGAGGCTAATAGTCTCTACACATGTACAGTTCTAGCTAAGGTCTCCGATTGCTCTTTGGAGAAAATACAAAATTGCTGATCTATCTAGCAAAAGCCATGACGATGAGCTTTTTCAACGTTCTATCATATTTGATCATCAGATTTAGGTAGTTTGAATATTCTAAAGCAACCCATGATGAGAATTCACATTCAAGATTCTCGTGAATGTGAAAATTTCTATTTCATTTAATATGTTGCACTATCAGGGTTGTAACTTCCATTTATTTTTTTTGACAGATGGTAAAATCTATAACAATGCAATCATTTTATCCAGTTTTAATGCCAAATTTCCATTGCATTGAGTTGCTGTACTGTTGTATTTTCACTCACAACGGTGAAAGTGAAGGAGAAAATCAACACGCAGTGATGATCAAACAGTCTATATAAACATCCATTGCATGTAACTTCCGAGTTAATGAGCTCATTTATTCTGACTATTTCAACAAAAATTAAAACCCCTCCATCCCCCCGAGGATATGAATTTTTACATTGTCAGCTGATGAAACCCAGCAACACAGTACTGAGATCAATATATCACAACTCCATCTCGCACAGACAGAAGGTTTTAAGACACTCGAGGCTCTAGTGAGTCCATTTATAGTTCCTGCGCTTAATATTTTATTAACTAAATGATGAATTACTTTAATGCAGATTACGATTTTTTTGTTCATACAAATAAGATAAAGAGTAATATCGTAATACTACAGCATCTGTTATCAATCTAATGAGGAAAATTGGATATTCCACATGTGAAGATGATTAATTGATTTAAATTTGAAAACACTACCCGGCCAACATACAACTGGATTTTTCAAAAACAAGTTGCTACTATGATCACATTAAATAAAATCAGGAATGGTATAAATGTGTCTGCTTGATGCTTTCTCTTTATGGACAGTTATGATGAGAACTTCTTCATTATCTAACAATTTATAACACTGCTTATCTTACTGTACAAAGTCTCTCATTACTTATTTTTAATTAACTCATTCACCCCTGAAGACACATTTGAACTCTTCCAATTCAAAGGTTGGAGTTGTTCATTATAAGAGTTTATATAAGGGGTGAATAAGTGAAGGGGTCATCACAATCTAGATCAACAAATTACGTTGTATGGTTTAATTTTTAAACAAATGGCAATGATACCCAGACATTATAATGGTGATGTCTGATAATAATGATACCCCGATAATGTCTTAGTGATACCCCGAAAATGTCTTAGTGATACCCTGATAATGTCTTAGTGATACCCCGATAATGTCTTAGTGATACCCTGATAATGTCTTAGTGATACACTGATAATGTCATAGTGATACCCTGATAATGTCATAGTGATACCCTGATAATGTCTTAGTGATACACCGATAATGTCATAATGATACCCCGACAATGTCTTAGTGATACCCTGATAATGTCTTAGTGATACACTGATAATGTCATAGTGATACCCTGATAATGTCTTAGTGATACACTGATAATGTCTTAGTGATACACTGATAATGTTTTAGTGATACCCCGATAATGTCTTAGTGATACACTGATAATGTCTTAGTGATACACCGATAATGTCTTAGTGATACACCGATAATGTCCTAGTGATACCCCGATAATGTCTTAGTGATACCCAGATAATGTCTTAGTGATACCCTGATAATGTCCTAGTGATACCCCGATAATGTCTTAGTGATACACTGATGATGTCTTAGTGATACCTCGATCATGTCTTAGTGATACACTGATAATGTCTTGGTGATATCTGTAATACAGTAGAAATCCATCGAAACGTGATTTGAACAAATGTCCGTTCTATCTTTTCATTTAATATCCAACTAACAGCCATTTGGTTCTGGATAATTTAGAAACATATGTAAACTGCGAATTAAAATCTACATCAAAACAGCTTTGGA